CATGGAAGAGGATTCTGCTGCGCAAGCAGAAGTTGTGAAGATCCCCACAAAGCATACTGACATTTAATATGCTGATTCAGAGATTCAGAGCATGCTGCTGGGAACACGACATTAGTGCTTGGGAGCTTAGATGGGCTGTCCACCTGTCTGGGTACAGTTTATGGCCATGGCTCACAAGCTTTCTGAACCTGTCCAAATCTGCAAATCTTTGACATTTCTCACTGCCCGCTTACCTTTGCCAGACTCAAACTAAGGGACACATGGATGTTGCTGTTGGGTAGACAGCCACTGAACGTTCACTCAAGCCATGGTCTGGGAACACCTGTCTATAGGTGCAATGATGTATAAACCTGCCTGTCTGAGGATTTTGCATACATCAGTACAGAAAGCCTGTCTGAGATTCGTTCTTCTGGTAAAACAAGAAGAAAAGAGTGTGGGTGAACATAGAGGCCATGGTGCAAAGGCATGCTCTGTGAGGGTTCACACACAAGAAAAACCTGTGGGTCCTTTTTATGATGCAGGTTGTACTTGAGGCATGTGGAGGCATACTGGCAAACCTTAGATGAGTGTATATATGCATCTTTTCTCCAAAGTGATAGAGGACAAGAGGTTTCTGGCAGGGACTAGATGGCCTAGTTTCTGCTGAAAGTGCCATTTCTGATGAGGTTTTGTTAGTGAAGACAGGGCTTTCAGGGACCAGGATTGGGACAGTCCTGGAAATCTCTACTGAGCCCTTGTTCTGCCTGTGCACTCTCTTTTCACGCTGTGGGGGCCTATGTCTGCTCCTGCACAGGATCTGGCTCCTCTGTAGGCCAAACTCTGCTCTGGGAAATGGCAAGATCATGGCTTACATACCTGGCCTGATATGCACCTGCAAAATCAGGCAACCCATAAACAGCAACCATGCAGTATGCTGTCTGATTTTTGATTAATTCCCCTCTGGGAGGAGGCTCAAACACACATCATTTAGTGAGGTGCCCTTGTTGGCAGCCTGGGGGCTGGCCTGGAAGGAGAGGGTTTTTACTACCCCAACTTGACAGTGCTGTGCCATGATTGGGAGAAGGCTTCATGCGACCAAATGGTGAGTGGGACAGCTGTGTGCTGGGGGACTCCTGTGGCCCAGCATTTTCTTCACAGGCTATTCTTTCTTGTGCTAGGACCAATGCTGCTTCTTCTTCATGTGAGCAGCCTACAACTGGGATATGGCCATGTTCTTGCTTTTGTAAAAGGAAAAAAAAGCAAACCTTGCATCTGTTTTGTCTTTTCATTGTGATTTCAAAAGGAACAGTAGGTCTTTCTCAGTTTGACGAGGAGTGAAGGTGCTAGGAGCAGCTAGATATTCATACCTTGCACACTAAAACACTTCCCAGAGGAATTTAGTATTCCTATCCTGAGCATATCCTTCCTTGCTGGTTCTGGCATGTACCCCATAGCACTTTAAAAGGCTCCAAACTCCCTGTATCAGCTACAGCAGGCAGCATGCTGAGATAGACTCTAAACTTCTCTGAGGTTCTGGATGCTGCTCGTAGAGGAAAGTACATGACTGCTGTTGTCATGCACAACTATTTTAGATCGTTAAGTTTTTAATTCGACCTGTCTCCAGAGCCATAGCTGGTTGCAATTTTTTATTTAATTGCACTAAATGGGGCATAGTTGGAAGCCCTTACAGCTTTTTTCTGGCTTTTTGTATGTCAGTTTGGACTACAGTGCCTCACTAGTCTGTTGGCACAACTTGACAGACAGTATCCGCAGCAGCCATTTTTGTCTAGTTATAGTAATTCCTCAGCTGTATTCTGCCCCCAACCTCTTCAGGAATCCCTGGGCTGCATATGTCTATTTTTAAGACACCATGCTGGCAGTAGGTAAAGGTTATAGAAGGAAAGGCAATACTGCCCATGTTTGTCAGGTCAGTTTTCAGTGTTTTGGTTTTGCCTGTAGGCTGATGTTTTTTAGTTAACATTTTTCATATTGTAAGATGTGTTTTTCTTTCAGTCTGTAATATGTAAGCCCACATTTGAACAGCACCCCTGTATAGCCACCAGTGGGCAGAACTATTCAGTAATCTCCTTCCACAGCCCTCTTCCCAGAGCTTGCCCTGCGCATCAATATGGGCAGGAGAGTCAGTGTGTCACTGCGCCCGCCTTCAGCCCCCGCTTCAGAACTACCCACTGCCCCACTCAGAGGCTGAACTGTGGCATTTGGTGAAAGGTCTCTGGCTCCAATTTCAGCCGGCACCATCTAAGTGACTAACATTTCAAATCAGTTAGAAAAGACGTCACCTTTAAAGCACAGGGCTAGACTATATGCCAGTGGAAGTGTGAATCACCCCTGAGAGCTGTTGTGTAATCTTTATATTAGAGACAAATCTCCCATGGATTTGTCAAATTGAGGTGTTTAATTTTTTTAACCTTTCTATGCTATTTGAACCCATTTTACCAAGTGGTTCTCAGGCTTATAAAGACTCATTACACATTTCTGAAACAATCTTATTTCTTCTCCCTACCTTCTCCCTCCTCCCCCCCCCCCTCACTTTGCCCTCCTCCCCCTCCCCACCTCCTCCAGCCCCATCTTGATTAAGATAGAGCTTAATCATCAGTTTCATCATTCAGGTTTTTATCATTCAGTGAGATAACAGTATTTACCAAAGTAAAGTTTTCATGCAACCCAGTCTTGTGCCTTTATCCAAGTTTTATTATTTTCTCTTCTTGCTCCACTGTTGGCTGCAGTATTTCTGGAAAGCTTAGGTGTGGCGTCTGTGTTCTTTACATATTAGTGTACATAAAGTTCCTACTGAAGGAGTGTTATTTGAGTATAAAGCGTTGTGCTTTATACATACTGAAAAGTATCCAGTACCTGTAAAAAGCATTTGGGGATTTTTCAGTTGAAAAAAGGAAAGAGGCAAATAATGGGCTTATTAGCTCTGAGAACACCCTTTGGACCACTAACTCCAAAACAAACTTTCTGTTAGAAGATGATCTGAACTTTGTCTTTTTGACCAGTGTAACAGATCACTTGGAATCAAAAGTAAAGATCTGCATGTGATGTTTTGACAAATGCTGGAAGCCATAGGCCAACTCCCCCCCTCCCCATGTCTTATTTGCTAAATTGATTTGGTATCCCGATGGTATTCTAGCTACACAGAAGAGACATTATGCATTAAAAGCATTTTAGCACTGGTCAGGCTATGATGACAAAATAATGTGCAGAATGTAATGGCTGTACTTTAAGCCAGCAGATCTGTTTGCATGTATTACGTGAAACCTGTCCCCTTCTTTTAGTAATAGTGCCATGTGCTATCCCAGAGCTCCCTAAATACATTATTTTTCAGTTTTGTACAAAGTCTGTTTGAAGAAAGAAAGTCTCCTAGCCTGGCAAAAGAGCTCTGAAATATTTGTCCCATGATGTGAATGGTATCATACACTTTTAATTAGATCACAGTGGTAGAAAAGAGAAAAAGAAACCTTCAAGATCACTTTCTTCTTCCATCATTGCCTTAGAGGACATACTGCAAAATCTGCCTGTTGCTCCACCTGAGGAGCTCTGCTCACCAGTCTTTCCCGAGACTTGAAATACATTCCCAAAGCTAAGCACATGAGATGCAAGAAGCACCGAACTCTTGTCTTTTCACTTGTTGCTAGTGTTCAGCACTGTCAATCCCTAAGACCTTTCCTTGAGGCTGGTTTCAAAGTAGAAAACCTTACCATTCAAATCCCTTTACAAATCTCCAAGTAATGTGTTGCTCATAGGTGAAGAGATGCTTTTAGAGAAATCCAAAGAAATGCTAAAGATTAAAAGAATCCAAAGAAATGCTAAAGATTTAAAAAGGAATGCAAAGGGAAATAAAATTTCTTTGCCTACAGCTGCAGTTCCTATCAACAAAAACAAAGCTAGATATATGCTTTGTTACTGAACTTTGTTTCTGTCTTTCTGGCATGATTTTAGTGCAGTAACTTGGGTTGAGTGAATGGTAACAGTGAAACTCAAGGAAACTTTTCTTCTTTAACTCCAGATTTTCGTGTTTTGCTTGTGAGCTTTCCAGATCTTAAAAATAAGGGAGTGTTGCTAATAAGTAGAATGAAGGCTACAACATGTAATTATTCTTACTGCCTTATCTGAGTGGGAAGATAGTGCTGTAATTAAAATCTGTAATTCCAATGCTGCAGATAGCATGTACCTAATTCACTGACATTTCTGCCTACTTTCACATTAGCATCATGTCACCCAAGGCTATTGCTTGTAAGGAGTTACTGACAGTGTAATTGAAAACTTGGACATACCTATATTTACATGGTGCACTGTAATACCAAAGCTGATGTAAAATTTCATTTTGTGAGTTATGACACAGACATGCTTAAATCAGATAAGCCTCATTTGTAAATTATTGAAGGCACAATTACTCTGTAACGAATCAAGCCATAGTTCACCAGTACTTCTCATGCATGCAAGCTCTATAATATTACACATAGCCCAGACTAGAAATTAAGTCATTACAATGTGATTGCAGCAGACCAACTAGCAACATAAACATCTTTAATAAATGCACGTCTAAGGTGCACCCTGCAGCTCCTGTTGATTCCTCCGGGATGGGCCATACACCTTCAAAACCCTTCTCTATGGAGGAGGCCGAAAGAGGGCGAGCAGACAGGGATGAAGGTGATATGGGAAGGGAACTTCCCTGTCCGGGCCCACAGCGCGGCGGGTGCTCTGCTGTGGGGCACTGTGGCACGTGTGGTCACTGACGCCCTACGCCTCGTTCTGGTGCTTTGCATATCATGCACCTTGCCTTGGCTATGCTGAGCTTGCTGCTGAGCAGCAGCTGCAGGAAAGCAGTTTCCAGCTAAGTGGCCAGCGAAAGTTTTGCATTGTGAGCAGTCTAACGCACAATTAGAAGATGTTACTAGATCTGCACATGGCTAATTTCAGTGCACGGGCAGGGCGGAACAGTAACTGGCTGCTGAGCTGCAGTCCCGTCTTAGTCTCCTTTCCTGCATCCTGGAGGTGTGGTCGAGCCAGCCTGGGGTGCAGTTATTCTGAGCACTCCATCACATGGTCCCAGAAGCATCTTAATAAACTCTGACCAGCAACACAGCTGACGGCGTCGCCTCAAAATAAAACAGCTACTCCGGATTTCCACACAGCAAGAAAGTGTCTCATTCACCTGAGGAGATAAGAACTTTGGTACCCAGCAAAAATGTCTGACAAAACCCCCTTTGAAACGGATATGCTGACGCTCACACGATTCGTTATGGAGAAGGGACGCCGCGTGAAAGGAGCGACAGGGGAGCTGACACAGCTGCTCAACTCCATGCTGACTGCCATAAAGGCCATTTCCTCTGCAGTCAGAAAGGCAGGCCTTGCCCACATGTGAGTCCTACCTAGTGATACGGGGAGGAGGAGGAGGTAGAGAGACAGCTGCTTGCACAGCAAGGCTGGGGAATGGGCAAGGATTCATAGAAATGTTGGAAGTGTCTTTTTTTAAGATGAGTGACTGTGGGCATGAGGTCAGATCCTGGATTATCAAGAGTGGGAAGTGGGAGCTCTCTCTTTCTGGAGCATTTTCATATTGGGTGCAAGGTAGACATTTAAACTAACTGCTGTTCTGTAATGTTTTACTCTAAAAACATGAGTCAGAACCGTGCACTGCTCACCTGGGTCTCCCTTGCAAATGTTGTTATTGATCTATTTTTAAAACTACTGTGAATTTGCAGAATATCACCCCATGATATTTTTAATGCAGAATATCACACCATGATTTTTTTCTGCTAACATCCAAGTCTGGTGCTGAGCTGTGCAAATCGGGGCTTGGCTTATATAGGGAAGCTGATGTTCTGCCTGACTGCAGTAGAGGTAATGATCTAAAGCAACAGCCCTGTGAGAAACGCTGTAAGCTGCCATGCATGACTGCATTTCCCCTTCCTTCCTCAAGCAGTATCAGGGTTACGGGTGGGGAATCTTAAAGGGCCCTGTATGAAAAACAAGCATAACAATTTGACATCTAGTGGTTTAGCAAGTGGAATAAAGAATTGCCTCAGCAAAGCCTGGAATGAACCAAGGTGTTCCTCACACAGACAGGTGAAATAGTCATCAGTGGCAACCTTTTAATGGTGATCTATCTGAAACAGTTCAGAGAGCTGGAACTTCCTAATAAAATTATGCATCTAAAATATACAGATTTTGTTATGTATTGAAAGGTATGTTTCTGTACATGTCTGTGCATGTACAAATGCATATATGCATAAAAAAAGACAGGTTATATATTTATGTAAGAAAGACAACATTTGTAATTTGTTTTTTTCTTTTTTTCTTTCATTTTTTTTTTTCCCCTGTGGAATCACCAGAATGTATGACACACTGGTTTTCTCTGTGCTTCTGTTGACTATTTAGTCAGAGTCCTCAATGATTTTTCCAAATCATTAATTCAGTGTCTCATTCCTATCACCCTCACTTTACAGGAGTGAACCATAATATGTAGAGAGGACATGAGACATACTCAAAGTTAACAGCAATGTCAGGCTCCTATGCCCTAACAGTTAAGCTATACTTTGTCTCTGTACTTACTAGGTGAAGCTAAGCTGTTTTCCCTCCCTGACTCAGAGGAACAGTCACTTTTATCTCATTTTTATCTTTCATTATGCAACTTCTGAAGTATTTAAAAGTGGGGAGAACCTCTATTTGATAGATTAGAAGTGGAACAGCCACCTAGCCTTCAGGACACACAGCTACTGTGCTACGTGAATCTTCCCTTCAGAAAGAAAACATCCATTATGTTAAGGAGCAAATGTCTCCTTCTTTAAACAAAAGCTTCAGGTGATGTACCAGAAATACCTAAAGTATCCAAACACACTAATGAGTAGCTTGCACCATTCAGAATACAGCAACTAACCATAAAATTTCAGAAATTCCCATGGCAAACTTTCAACCATGGTGACTGGATTGCATCCCTCTGCAGTTGTGAAGTTAGAGATCTCTGATTTTTCTAACCCCTCCAAATCGGAGACTGTGAAGTGACTTCTTTAACATTAAAGAGCTCAGCATGAATTTTTTAAAAATTTGCTTATTCAAGAGTAAAGGAGGACTTTTTCCAAGCTGTGGACTTGAGCTGGGAATGTGCCTGAAAACACACTAACTGGAGAATGGGTTCTTAGCACTCCCTGAAAGTCATGGTCCTTTCCAGTATCTCAAATGTGGCACTCTGAAATAGAGTGCCCAAAACACTCAATACTTCTGGAAAGGTCAGGCAGCTTTGAGCTTTGAGTAAGACAAAAGACCTACTCTGTGCCCAGCTAAGGCCTGCTGCTGATCAACATCATAGGGACTAATTAGTTGCCCCTTTTCACCCCCCACCCCTTTTTTTTTTTCCCATAATGAATAAAAATGTTGTATGTATTCCCTATATGGTTCCTTGTATTTCTAAGTTGCCCAGACCATGGACATTAAGTCTAAACAGTGCTTCCTCAACTGGAAATCTCATAAATATGTATACTACTATATACTACATCATTAGTATATTGCTAAAATCAGGATAGGGAACAGAAGCATCATCCTAACTCAGCTGAGGATCACCAAATAAAACAAAACTTGATCCTGAGATACAGTTCATCATGGGGAATTATCTGCAGGTGTCTTTAAAGCTTCTTATTTTGGGGTGGCTGGGGACTGAGTGGATGTGGGTCAAAGGACCGTCACAAAGCCCTGAGCAGCCAGGGGCAGAAAAATAATGTGGATGCTAACTGCCCTCTCTTTCCTCAAGGCTGCTGCCAGCTGCTTCATGGGGCTGCTAGGGAAGCCTGGCACCCACCAGCCAGGCTGTGGGCTCTGCTCCTGGCCTGGAGAACATCCAAGCAAGAGCAAAATGACCCGGGTAAAGCCCCTAAATGATGCCATCACCCTTCCTCTTTCTTATGCATGCTTTTATTTTCTAGCAGCAGCAACTGTCTCCTAATGCACTTTAGCAGTTTAATCCAAAGGTTAGAGGTGTGGGAAGATGAGAGGAAGGAGCCACCCGGACTTGTTTCTTTTCCTGAAAACCTGTAACATTGGCGTACCTCAGGTTTCTGATATTATTACTTTTCTGTAGGTTTGGTATAGCTGGCACTGTGAACGTGACTGGTGACGAAGTGAAGAAGCTGGATGTATTATCTAACTCTCTGGTGATTAATATGCTCCAGTCCTCCTACAGCACCTGTGTCCTGGTCACGGAGGAGAACAAGGAGGCCATCGTCACCCCGAAAGACAAGAGGGTCTGTGCGGCTCCTGCCTTCAGGGGGTTATTGACTCAGGCAGCAGCAGGTGGCACTCTTGTTTCAAGCATGAAACCTGGCCCCAGCCCCAAATCCAACCCTTCCCGGGGGAATTCAGAAAATTTGCACTATTACTGCCTTGTTTTGATTAACAACTGTGGTGGATGGCATGATTTCAACAGCTAAATGAGATGTGGATGGTAAAATTATTATTAAAGTTTTGTGAAGGGGGGTAGAATAATTATTTTGGAGCTTGTTAACACACCCCAGATCCCAGGTGTAAGTGTACTATTACATTCCCTGACCGGCAGTATAACAGTTTTGGATTACGTTAATATTTAGGCAAGATAAAATGAGATGAGAGGCTGGCAGAACTGGGTTTCACTTTACACATCCAGAGGAAACACCTGACTGCTTCATCAGGCTTCCCCCAAGAGGGGATCCTATTGCAGCAAGATACTGCTCACACTGATGTAACCTACCCTTTCCCCAAGACGATTTCTTTCTGCCTTCTTACCCTCAAACCTCACATCATAGGCAAATCTTTTTGTTCAGAACAAAATGTAAAAAACCAAAACAAAACATATTTACTCGAGGAAGATGCTCATTCCCAGAATGAGTCACCCCTTTTGCTTTCAAGTGATTTCTTGCATTGCTTGGCAGCAGAGGACTGCTCCTTTATATTGTCAGATTTTGTGCTATCTGAGCAGAAACGTGCCCTCTCCTATTTCTCTGGGAGGCCCTGCAGGGAGTGGGTGTTGTGCTGCAGGGGCCACCTGAGCCAACAGCGCAGCCTCCTCTGACAAGCTCTGTCAGGTGTGCTTGGAGAGCTAAACACAGTCTAAAAAATATGAGTTTTGTCAAATAAAAGGAGATAATAGTGCAAGACTACATATCATTTAATGCTTCCCTTGCCGTTTCTGTTTTAGGGTAAATATGTGGTGTGCTTTGACCCCCTTGATGGCTCATCCAATATAGACTGCTTGGCACCAATAGGAACAATATTTGCTATCTACAAAAAGGTAAGAGGATGAATGAAGCACACATGGTACGATTGACTTGGTGAAAACAAAATGTCTTGGGTATATCAACTTGCTTAAATTCTTTCCTAGGTCCTTTAAGTGTCTTTGGGATCAACAGAGCCTTAGAAAGTGTAGAAGAGGTAACAGTTTGGATTCGTGTGTGCTAATATGCTGCCTGAATTTGCAGGAAGGGGACACTCAGCCCTGTGAAATAGTTAGGAGGCAGCACTTCCCCATCTCCAGACACAGAGGAGCTTAAACAGATCCCTCTCACCACCAGGCAGCTGGTTAGCCCTGTCAGGGATGCTGAGGGGTGCCGCAGTGCCTCCAAATCATGGTATTCATCCTTCTGGATACAGTCTGGGAAGGGCTAACAGTCGCTGCCTGGACCATATCACGGTCAGCAGTGTGGTGGCCTCCCGGTGTGAGCTCCTGTGCCTGTTATGGGTGGGAATTTATAAGCGTGCTAACGGTGGAGGCCACCTGAGGCTGAAGGCAGCAGTCACCTACAGCCACCGCAGCCCTGCCAGTATGTCTGCTCCCGTGGGGCTGCACAGAACAGCCACTGCGCCGCCAGTTAACAAACATTAATAGTTAGAGTCATGCCAAGTCCTGTGATTTGACTGCTAATCTCCCAGCAGCTGGCTTTTTTCCTAAAGCATGAGCTCACAGTCATATGACTGTGGCAGACCCTCAGCCATTACTATTGTGAAGTAACATTTACAGTAATTGTGACTGCAAAGAAGTCTCTGCAGACTCAGATGTTATGCTTCAAACACATAAACATATGTTTCTGAGGTCCACTCTCATCTTTTAACTCATAATTTTCAACTGGCTTGTGCTTGGTTTTTACATTTCTGGTAGGCGATACACTAATCATAGCTGTTGAGGATATGCATCTACTAGTAAACCAAATAGTTATGGCACATTCTCAGTAGGGTCATGGCACAAGCCAAGTGCTGGCACATGGCTGTCCACACTCTTAATGGTTAGTGCAAACCCCCATCACAGGTGCAGCCAAGACCAGACAACACTGAGATGGTGTCTGTGTATGGCTTGTGGAAAGAGCAGCCCAGGGACTACCTCCAGTACCATCTACCACCTTGCTTTTTGCAGGGAAGAGAGCTTAGCTATATGGATTCAATCCATGCCACGTGGCCTCATGGTAAGCAAAGGGGGCACCACCCTTTTAATTTACCTCTCTAAAGGTAGCCTAAAAAACCACAGCACCTCCCAACACTTCCAGCAGGCAATAGCCACATTGTCCACCATTCTTAAAAGTGGCAAGCACCAGCTTACAAATACTAAATATTAGCTTTACCTTTAGAAATGCTGTGTTAAGTTACTCTGCATAACGATAAAGGCAAGTACTCAGTGTGATTAATATAGCTTAGTAGGTTGAAATACAGACTAAATTACTCTACCATCTTTAACCCACGAGTTAACATGTGTAAAGACTAAGGACTGCTCAGTCTTCCCTAGGATTCTGCTTCAGAACATAAACGTTTCCCAAAGAACTCATGTCATTCCCAAATGCTCAAGTTATCAATTAATTTTCTGATCCTTCCATAGTTGTTGTTGTTCTAATATATATTAACATATTTGTTGTAAATACTGTTCCTAAGTTACTGGTTTTCCTATCAGTGAATACCCTTCAGCGCTTCATAAAAAGAAAATTATTGCTTTGAACAAGGGCTTCATAGCCAGATGAGAACCCCCTGCTAGGATGAAGCACACTTTGTCAATTACAAGAAGAACTTATCCATTTTCCCTGCAAAGTTAGAAACAACATTGCATTTACAGACCTTCGCTTGCATAATTCTTTCCATTAAAATGCTAATTCCAAAGTACATGATAAATAACTTACCTTCCTCTCAGACAATTTCATAGTAACACTATTAACTTTAAACACTATTAGCTTCAAACCCTTTGAAATAATGAAACAATAATAAGTGCTTTATTGATTGTTACTGAAGGGTATTGGGAAAGGAATAAAAGATGTTTACCCAGTGGATGTGAATCACTTAAGAAAGAAAATACATTTTCAAGCCATTTAAGGTTCATTAGCATAAGTTTGTAAAAGCTAGGACAATTTTAATTCCAAAGGATGATCATTAGCACCTGTCTGATATTTGTTCACTTCCAATTCTCAGATTATTTTATGACTGATTTTCTCACCATGTCAGCACCTTAACTTCATTTCTAAAGGCAAATCCTCCAGAACTGAAATATCTGCCTCATTTTGAGGGCTGGGGGCGGGGTGGGGGTGGGGGTGGGTGGGAAATACAGCTTAGTTGCCTGGTTTGTTTCACAGTGCATGGTACTTTTTTATAAAGGCCAGACTTGGCCAATACATTTCAAACCTGAAAATGGTTTTCTTGCTGCTCTCAATCTAGAGTCACCACCATGGTGGCAGGTAACATTGCCTCCTGCCAGAACAGCACTGTATCAGTTTCTTAGGGAAAACCACCAGGAAATAAATGTCACCTTAGGTTTATTTAGTTTTCCACCTGTATTTTACTTTCTGAAGCATGCGTAGTACTGTTAAAAAGACCAGAAACATCAGAAAAATGGGGCTGAAGAAGGATCCTTGCCATAGCAGGGGATAGGACCTTGACAGTCACTGCTGCTGTGGGGCTCTCAGCCACTGCAGGTCAGGATGTGGTGATAATAAGTATTTTTTGCTTGGATTTTTCTCAATTTTTCATGACAGTGAGCTGGATCTACAACTCTCAATCCATACTGCATGTATATGCTATGAAACTCTTCTGCTTTGTTTCATTCTGGTTTTAATTTTTTAACTTTGCCCAGTGCCTCAGATGTATTTTATTTCCGCCGCCTTCATTGGAATGAGGAAAATGTCCTCCCCTCCATGTGGTCCCTCATAGATAACGTGTAAGAATTCAGGGTAAATGCAAAGGATACTCATGAAACATGTGATACAGAGATGTGGAAACCAAGTCCTTCCAGAGCTGCTCCCACTGCTGATGAGAACTCCCTCATGTGATGTGGGCAAATCGTACATGCAAAAATTTTCAAACTCAGCTATCACCTGAGGGTACCCCAACAGCCAGACTGCAGACCTTGTTTCACCTGCTTTACACCAACAATGAGTCAAAGTGACTGTGCCAACCAATGCTTGTCAGAGCTTCTCTGCAGTCCCTCTGCCTATTTCACTGCTTTGCATAAAGACCTCTAACGAGATTTCACTACCGCCATCTCATCGTCAAAATATAATAGAAAGGAAATCCATCTGTGCACCAGAAAGAAGTGAAAATATGCAGCAGCTATCAGAGTCTACCAGCTAGCTTAATTCCCTGGTTTGTTTCACAGTGCATGGTACTTGGCAGGACAAAAATCCTGCGGTCCTATCAATGAAATATCAGCTGATCTCTAGCTTTTTTACATTCTGACAAGCTCTGCAAAATGTTTGTTTGAGACTGAGCTTTTTTCCTTCCTTTTGGAAGCTGGCTCTTGGAAACACAGTTGTGAACAAGGATGGAAAAACAAGTGAATTCCCTCCAAATGTCCAATTCCCAAGGGAGGATTTCCTCTGCTTTTTCAGAAAAATCAACAAATATGTGGTTTCTCAGCCATATAAACATATAAAATGCATTTAAAAGATAGGACTGAGAATCTCATCTCCAAAAAATATATTTTAAATCAATACCATGTATAACCAGCAGCTATGTATACTGTATATACACTATGTTCTACAAAACAAACCTCTTTACTGTATTTATACAAAATTAATTTTTATTTAATGAGGAAAGCATACAAAGAGCTAGGAGAGCCATAATATGTTTACAACTAGTTGTGTAAATGTCTGTTTAATTCTGCATTTAATGTTGCAAATAATTAGTCTACTATAGACAACCATTGCTTTTGATGTTGAGATGTATTTGCCATTGGGATTTATTTTTGAAAGAGAATATGCTATGTAGGGTATAATAGTTGGTTCTGTAAAAGATAGTTTTAGCAAAGAATTAGCCACTAATAGTATTAAAATCTCTGAAATATAGAAAAAGGGATTTTAACCACTCTTCCTTCCTTATGTACATTGTAATGCTCTCTGAATAAGCAGCTTGACATAGGATAATTCCGAGGGTCTACATACCAGGTTTATTTGTACATGCTTCAGCTCCCATGAAGAGCTAGTTGATAGCTGGATTATTTTTTTTTTCCACAGAAGAACTTGGCAAAATAATAAAAATAACATTTTTGAGCAAAATATAGCTAAAGACTGTAAGCAAAAGTAACAAAATCTTTCAGCTGGAAATTAAAACACTTTGTTGTGGAATTACTGTCTTCATATGGCAAGAAAGATGTAGTTTCCATGTCCCACATCTCAGTTTTCCTCTAGTTATTGTCATACAATGATGAACGGGATCCCTAGGTTACCCTTAACCTTCCAACTTGCTAGGACACTGATGGGCACTGTGAGGGCTCCTTGACATGGGGCACAGCAGAGAATTTCTCTGTTTGTTGTAAGAGAGGTGTTTTCATTTGGGAAATATCTGTGGAAGGCATTCTTGATTTTTTAAAGATTATACTCAATATTCATGAAATGTTTTGTTTCCTACAAAATATTCTCCACTGATTTTTATTTTTTTTAACCAGATATTTTGGGCTAGACCCGCTATTTCTGTTTAACTGATACTCAATCTAATTAGGCCCACACAATGAATGAGAAATTGTCTGAGTTTAGAAAAATAAAATGCTAAACCAGGGCCTGAAGAAAGGATCTGAGAGGGTTCTCATTCAAATTACTTGTGAACCACCATCGAAACATCCACAGAAGACCCACAACAACTGACCGGCTTTTCAAGAAACACTAATACAAAGCATCCCTACCCATTTTGTAGTCTCAGGAGGTGAAGGCTGGAGCCAGCCTTCCCAGGTACTCTCTGCTGTTCTTTCTTACCCTATCAGTCAAACTTTTGTAAGCTGTGGCTGAGGCACACACCCAGAGCTGGCTGGAAATATTTGCACCAGGTCTGCTTGGGCTATTGCTGTTCAGTGATAACCAAAGTGCCAAATCAAAATACAAGTGATGGAAATTGGTTTAAAGCCTGAGGTAAAACGCCACATGAATGTTCTATGTGGAGTTATCGATGCATACCTGCGCAGACGCACACATTACATATGCAAATGCATTTGTTATTTTATGTATAATATGAACATTTATATCACTTCATTTACCCATCTCCTCACCAGTGGAGACCAGTGGACAATCTTGGTTCCATCGTGTTGCACCATCTGCCCTTTTATTCTGCATTACTGGAAGCAATCTGTCTGTAATGTTAATTACTGCATTCACCTCACAGGTATTCTCTCTGAGGGTTGTCAGTATGATAGCTGATGTTTACATTTACAGAAAATTAGTACCCCTGTTCCCTCTCAGATTTCTGATGATCTTGAATTAATAGGCTGTGTTGTAATGCTAAGGTATCAGCTTTGTTGCAGATATCATATTGATTGCATGACATGTATAAAATAACAAACTCTCAACATCCTGTCCCAGCGTGCACATGTACTTGTACCAAACTTGCCCTGAATGAGTGGGAAATATCTCTGGTTTGATTGTTTCAAAGGCCTGCATAGGCACAAAAAGGAAATCTGCGTCATGTTGTTATTTAAGTGTTGCTTTTACTGTTTCTCATAAAAATTTAACATTCAGTCAAATGGTAATTTTTCTTCAGGAAACAGATGACGAGCCCTCTGAAAAAGATGCTTTGCAGCCTGGACGCAATATTGTTGCTGCAGGGTATGCCTTGTACGGCAGTGCCACGCTGGTCGCCCTCTCTACCGGGCAAGGGGTGGACTGCTTCATGCTTGATCCGGTACAGTCCTGGTGTATATCTTCTTGTCATCTTTTAGAGCTTTCCATGCTTGGGTTTACTCATTTTTGTTACTCCTTGTCTCTGTAATCTAGTCAATCTACTCAATTCTATTTTTTTTTTACCCACCTCCTGGGGCATCCCACCTCTGCCCTACAAGTATTTAATAGTATATGAGTATATCAGTTGCAATACCTCTGCTTAGTTTTTTTTGCTCAGTGAAAGAAAGTATAAGTTAAATAGCATTTGAAACCCTGTTCATTTAAACCAGACTACTGGCTTGCACAAACACTTAAGAAAATTTACTCTGAACAGTGTCCTTACCTCCACTTGCAGGACTCCTGCCTTGTTCTTGCTTTTTCTGTCCATAAAAGAACCTCATCATGTTCAGTGTTTAGCTTAGGGCAAGGACCATTTTTTTGATAGAGTTCATGCAAAGTGATGTCTGATTTCCTGAGTGCAATTCAGTTTTAGGGCTAAGTCCTCTAAGCTGCATACCCAGCAATTTGGAAAAGCACAACCATACCCATATGATCAGACATGTGCCTCCCCTCAGTACCCAGCCCAGGAGCCCAGTAACTGTTAACTGGAGGAATGCAGGAAGAAGACTGCTCATTTGAGAAACCAGTATTAGATGTAGGCAATAACACAGGAGGTTTTTTTGATGAAAGGATGCATCATTATCAAAATGTCTTTTAACCTTTATAAATAGGCTCATTCCAAGTGGGAAGAACTTGAACCTGAACGGCTCTGGTTAGAGGGATAGAAGGTAGAAGTTGTACTCAAACTGCAGACAACAACACCTGGGGTAGTTGACCACGTGCACTTTAAGATATTTAGACAAGAGGCAAGAAGAGTTCAAAAATCAGAAGGCAGTGTAATTTCTTAATTTGTAACCTTGTTATTTGTGGACATCTGCTCCCAGGGTTGACTGGTGTTCTTTTGATATGCTAACTATAACAGTAGAAATGCTTTTTGTTTATAGTACTAATGTGACAATTTTTCGTGAACATAATTCAGAGTCTGTGCCTACTGCTCTGTTTGAAATATTGTGAAGTTATACACAAGACTGGTGCTGAAAAGACCAAGCTGTGCTAATGTTTCTGCCATCTCTGGTGTGACAACTGTTACAGAAAGTCAACAAAATTTTCTACTGCCTCTGATGCTTCTGATAGTTGGTCTCTCCTGTTCTGTAGGGTCTCGGTGAATTTATTTTGGTGGACAGAGATGTTAAAATAAAGAAGAAGGGGAAGGTATACAGTCTCAATGAAGGTTATGCAAAATATTTTGATCCTGCAATGACAGAATACTTACAAAAGAAGAAATTCCCTGAGGTAAGAAAATATTAACACTGTACCCAATGTACTGTGCACTGGCAAGCACTGCATTCCATGCAGTTCGGGCTGATTGGAAAGAATTTGAAGGCCCTGATGAATTCAGCCCCATGTAACCCTTTCATGCCATCAGGTCCATTTTGGGCACGTATCTGATGTGTTTTTTACCAGTGCCCTGTCATCTGTTATAACTTAGACTTCAGTAAGTAAATTCATAAATTGTTTGTCACTGTGTGGAGTAAAATGTGCTGTACACAAAGAACCAGGTTTTTCAACAAAGCTCTGAAAGTATACCAGCAAAATGTGGAGGTACCCTTGTTTTCTAAATTATCTGTAAGTACAGCTCAGCCATATGTGCAGCTGGGCATTTGGGCAGATTACACATACTGCCCAGAAGGTGCTTGCAGGGAGCTGGGTGTCATCACCTTCTCCTTCCTGTACACGCTTGTATCTGAGAAATGCATAGCTACTCTTGCACTGTCTGCTTGCACCATACGGAGCACAAACCAACGTATAGGTTGAAAAAAAAGGTGTGAGGCACAATCTCACTATATTCTGTTGTTAAGAGGATTATATGGTACCTCTTGGAGAGCTAAAGCTGAGAATATCCCATGTCTGATGAACTTCCTCATGGGGATATACAGCTCTATATTGCCTCTAGTCCATGCTAGGAGGACACAATACAAGCTCTCAATGTGGAAAGCTGGATGATTTCTAGAAAGGGTGGCTGTGTGACCAGTAAGTCATAACAAAACATGGTGATGTGGAAGAGCTCGGGACTGGTTTTAGTGCTCTTCCTGTTTTTTCTTTTTTTTTTTTTTTTTTAAAAAAAAAAGCCAAAAAAAAACCCCCAAACCCATATGTTTATTTTTTAAGTTATTAGTTGTCAAGAATACTTATACAGGGCTCATGCAAAAATCAGTGTATCAGTTAGAAAGCCTCAGGATGCTTTACAAGGGAAATGTAATGAGTAAGAGTTTAAACCATAGTCCTGTGAGAAGCTCCTTCTGAGCTGAAAATCTGAATTTACTGCACTGGATATAGCTGCAATATTGACCTCTTACCAAAATCTCTTTTCCATATTACCCAGATTGTAGCTACAGAGGTTGTCACATCACAGCATTTAAAATATATTAATTGTTAATATTTGAGGTTATTTTGAAGCTTCAAAATCTACTTTCAGTCCAGCTGTGAGAGAAGCAGAAGTTACAGCAAAATTTTCATACTTCCTGAAAACTGATCCAGCTGGGATAGAGGACATCTGTGCTTCTCATTCTGCTTGTTATGCTGAACTATGTATTCAGTATAATGTACTAACACTGGATTTATTAATTTGTATTTTTGCAAACTACCCGAGTGTTCTTTAAAGTAAAAGTCTTAAACAAATAGTCAATCCCAGGCAACTATAAAAAGACTGAAGAGATTTCAAACTCAGTGGAAAGACCAGACAGAGATATTTCACTACAGGCTTAGTGAGGACAGCTCTATCATGTGATTCTCTAAATCCCTAGGTTAGGACATACAGAAAAAATCTTATTTGCAAGCACTGTTTTGCCTCAAATCTGTGCTTCATTTGAGGAAAACCTATTGAGTGTTGTTGCACTGATGCAAGAGAAGTTGACAGAATATGTCTTTGTTACTTTAAAACAAGCAGCACAGTAGAGCATGGGTTATTTGGGGCAGGGGGAGCCTCCTCAAGGGTGCTGAGCAAGCACATTGCTTTGCTGCTCTGAGACATAGGGTTGTCTGCGTGAGAAGGGCAGAGGCACCAATTTTATGGCCAGAAAGCACAAGGAAGAGCCCTGCCCATCTGAAACCTTGTTATGAACGTAACTTTTGGAACAGCATAACTCAGTTCCTTGATTTGCAAAGGACATTATATTTGCATTGTGGGAGGACAAGAGGGAGAAGGTGTTGCAACTCTTCCATAGCATAAAACCTACTTCCTCGCATCATCTGTAAGCTTTACCAGCTACAGCTACTCTGGTGATGCTCCCACCTTCCCTGCAGCACCCGCGGGGAGCATTGCACAGCTTTGGTCTGTGTTTTCCTCTCTTCAGCACACAGAAGGGCAGTGGTAGGTATCTGTTAGATAGCCCTTGCCTGTGGCTTGAGGGAGAACTGACATGTGGGGCACAGGGGACCCCTTCTTACTCAGGCAGACCACTCTCACCCTATGGCCTTCTGGCCACTAGAAGCCAAGAGACTACACATTAATTTCAGCTACTTGACACTTACTTATCTCCTTTTTAGCTTTTATCCTCCCTCTATTTCCTTCTTCCTGTGGTTCTTGGTCAACATACTGTTCAGATGACTCTCTAACATTGTTACAGAAAACCAAAAAGTTGAAAATAAAACAGGCAAGCAAAGTAGGATATTGCCCACAACATGTCCCGTTTTCTGTATCACTGTCATTTGCAACCAAACATTACAAAACAACTGTTTATGCGGAGAGATTTTCCCTTACTATCTAACAACAGCATCCTAGGTCAGACAATTTGGTCTACAAATCTATGTTGACCCTCAAAGTTTCTTGTGGACAACCACTCACCTAAGGCATCAATTCTGAATTTAAGAAGTGAAAAAGTAGAGAAGTGCTGCTGCAGGTCAGCTGTAAACCTTCTACCATTGTCATGTGGATCTTAGTGGGAAATATTTGTCTAGACACATCTCTTCTGGAATGGGAGTCCAGAGTAAAGCTGATCTTTTGTTAAGCATCACAAAATCTCCTGCTGCTTAACCAGCTTGAAGAGCAAGCTGCTGTTTGCAAGGCTGCCTGTAATGCAACACGTTTACTTCAGTCTGCTCTGTATAATGGACACTGCTGGGCCAGTCACAGTTTCTGCACAAATTTCACACTAACTCCATCCCAAAGTGGGCTCTTCCTCCTGTAATGCTGCAGAGCCCTAGCCTCTAGCTGTCGCTGGTTCACTGGCGGTAGAACTCAGCAACTTGCTGAGGGGATTGTCATACTTTCCTATTCCACTCATTTTTATCTGTGCCTCCCATGGCCAAAAGAGAAGTTGAGTCTCATCATGGCTTGTTGATTGAGAGCCATGCAATGGAGACTCTCTGGTTAAGGATTTCTCTTAGCAATGACATGAAAAACATATCACCAACAGCATATTGCAGCATGATGCATTCTTCTGTTAGCCATCCCAGCTGTGCCCGAGTGACATCAAAAGCTAATAAAAACACTGTGCTTTTGTCACCATATCTGTATGTGGAGTGAGGGATGCAGGGTATTGCTGCCGTAGTCTGTAGGAAAGACTTGTTTCACCCTGCTCTCCTAGTCATCCTAGTTATGCAAGAAAAACATGGTCTTGTTCTGCTGTAACTGTCAGAAATTAGTAGAATAAAAAAGCGAAAAAGTGACTTCCATCACATTGTGAAGGAAAAAATCACAGGACCTATCTGTTGTGATCCATTTTTGTTCCTCTGGGATAAGCAAAGAAAAGCAGTGGAAAGGGTGAAACTAAGAGTAATCACAAGTTTACTCAAATGCCATGGACACTGACCAAGGAACAATCAAGGTTCTCTGACTCTTTCATTACCATCAGCCAAAACAGTGTGAAGTGCTCACTGGGCAAACACATCTTGGCATTACTCAGAACTTGAGATGAATCTCCCTAGAATTCATGCTCTGCTATTTTGATTGAGAAGAAAGCTTGGGCAATATGCCAACATGCAGGCAACACCTATTAACTTTCTCATCTGTAAGAAAAATGCATGAGTGACTAAACTGGAGAAACAAGAAGTAACATTTCTAGTAACTAAAGGACTATCTATACCATGCAGGTAACTGGATGCTAAGGGAAGTGACAATTTTATTTCAGTCTGTGGTTCAAGTGACAACTGTACCAGAATGGAGGAATTTCTCTTCTCTATTTTTCTCAGCACTGTGTTTCTGGCAGGCAAATTTCTATCAGGGTAAGAAACAACTGACATTTTCAGGGGCATCTTATTATCTTCACATAACACTGCCTATGTACACAAAAATTGTGTAAATGGCCTGCACACATATAGGAAATCCAGCACATCCCAGATGTGGGTCAGTTGTGCAGCTCATGGTCAGTAAATTTTACACATGTGGGTTTCAGACTCCTTATCTGATAATGTCATAGAAGCAGTCTTTAGCAGTCTGTTTCTGGGCCTGCTTATGGTCGATACGCTATGACTTTTCATAATGTTTAACAAACTTTTCTTAAGACTCATTTCATCACCTTCTGAAACTATAAAAGAGAGCTCTTCCTTTGACTGTATTTTTTAAAGGTAACTTTAGACTGTAATCACATTTTTTCCCTGAAAATTGTCTTTTCTTAAACTGCAAACTTGCTTTGGTCTCTCTTTAAGACCTCTTAAGGTGTTTTTTTCTGACCTCAGAATTTTACAGTTGCAAATTCACAAGTACAAACATCTGCAAGATGGAGAAGCTATCATTTGAAGTCTAAATATGTAACTATTTGAGGGTAAGCCATAAAAAATAAGGGATCAAGTACTTAAAAGTATTGTTCAGTTATGCTTGGAAGTAATAGGGCCAGGTTTAAACATAATTAAATACAAAAGCTCCAGGCTGTGTCTTATCCATCATGTTTTTCACACTTTGTATTGTTTTCCTTTGGATTTTCAATAGTTCTCCTAACATATACAAGAAGAAAGAATTGTGAAAAACAGCACAAGTATAGTTGTACAAGGGTTATTATTTAGTCTGGAACAATTCTCTGTTCTAATTTTACTACCAGATTAATCAAATATCCAAGTCATATATTTAGTGGTATAGGACTCAACTTCCTAGTGTTGTGTTGCATTATATTGTGTAATTTCATGGGAATCTCTTCCCATTTTAAAAGAGAGTAAATATCAGAACTTAACAGTTGCATGTAACAGTTTGAAAAAGTGATTTCAAAATAGAAGTATATTTTTCTCTGTGTTTTTTCCTCCCACTTGTGTTTTTGGTTTTGTTTTTTTTTTCTCCCAGCTAACCTCATGATTTTCCTGGGGAGGGTGACTAGCCTGTGATATCTCAAGGTCTTGGAGCTGCCATTACTCAACAAGTATTCTGTATATTTCTCTGGATCTAGTATCAGCACAAAGTGAGCTTTGTAGAAAGCACTAAGATCTTTTATTAGACAACTGATCCAGATAGAAAAAACATGCAGAGGTTTTTCAAACTTTTACCATTGCAATACACAAATATGTATTAAATGTATTAAAAGTCCCAGTCTCTAGCAATTTTCTGGGGAAGTGTAAATTCCTCTTATGCTTCATTCAAGACAGAGTGAGAGATATCAAAACACCAACACATTTCTTGGCATAGTAGCTTTCAGAAAGCTTTCCTCTGGTTTACATTTGTACTGTGTATCTCCCCTTCACAAAAGTATAGCAACGTATCGCTTTTTCTGGGTGGAGCTTATTTGGTGTATATAACTTCTATCTGTGCAAGACGCCTTGCTTCTCTTCTATATTTCATACCTTATCATTTTTATGACCAACAAACCTGAGACTGATGTGAATACTCTCCTGACTGCTCTCACTAAAGTGACCTCTCCTTCAACAACATTAATTTCCAAGCTGAGAGCAAGGAAAACTACATTAATGAATAAATTGTTATCTCCCAAACTAAGCTGCAGAATGAATGCTATGACCAATTTCACAAATTGACAAATAAACTAGAAGGAAAAATCTTGAGTCCTCTGGGAACCCTCTGAACATGCAGTGAAAAGTGACATCCCTCCTCTTGCCCTGGCTTCGGAACCAGCAACAGGAATCAAATGGGTACCTTGTTCTGATAATGTGAAGAAGTTTTCCCTCACTGTTTGCAGACCTTGATGTTACACAGGCTGGGGGTTGATACCAAATCGTGCACTCAAATCACAGACACCCTGGTTTCCATACTGTGAATGCAACTCTTTAAAGTGATTATTTTAGAATCCCATAGATGATCATGACATCTTACAAAAGGCTAAGTTTCAGGCTGGTTTAGTAGGCATTTACAGTGTCCATAAGCAGCCAGTGACGTAAGTAGCCTTGATTCCTGTTTTATAACCAAATTACATTTTGCAGTGATGCTAACTGTCTAGCCTGTTAGATACAATGTTTTACTCTATGTTTTTCAGGATGGCAGTTCTCCATATGGTGCCAGATATGTGGGCTCCATGGTAGCTGATGTTCACCGTACATTGATGTATGGTGGGATCTTCATGTACCCTGCTAATCAGAAGAGTCCTAAAGGAAAGGTAAATCATTTGACTTACTCTCTGATGAACTTAGTTAACCTAATACCTCTGGTTTTCCCAGAGATGTAAAGGAATAATTTAGATATATAAACAGATAATAATTTTCCACCCCTGGAGAAAATTATTAATGTATACGATGTTCAGCAATCACATTTAGGCAAGCAATTTAGGCAATTTCCAATGTGGGCCAAAAATCTTCCTGTGTGCTTTTATATTATAAACTGCTCAGATGGTTTTCACTGCAACCAAGGGCTTTATTCAGTTTTCTAAAGAGGAACATTTCAGTACCATAGAAACCTGTTGAGATACCTATGCACAGCTGGCAGATGCAACACAGGCCTAAGGAAGGACTCTGCACTTTATACTGGCAACTAGACTCTGGGTGGGACATGCTGAGCTCCAGACAGGGTTTTGTCCAATGTTAGACAAGCGAGTTTGCCTGCCTAATGTTTCCAAAGGGTACTGAGCTTACTATCACCAGCCCTGCAAACACAAGCTTCTACTAACTGATCTGAAAAACTCTGTCAGTGGAAGGTGAGTTTCATGCATGCTGAGATCAGTATTCTGGGAAGAGATGATTTCCCATTTGGGCAACTCTACAAAACTCACACTGACTTAATGCAGTGCAGTGCAGTGACTCCCTGAATCTACTAGGCCATGGATCATAGTCAACCTCAACTTTTGTCCTGCATCAACAGATTTTCTTATTATCAAACTCCTGAACAAATATATTTTAAAAGAAATCTGGTTATACAGCTGATCTGTGAAGCACCAGTAACCTGCAGGTCATCCTTAGGAAATGATTGGCTCAATGCATAATAGGTTGGTCATGATGTTCTGACTCGAAGACCACACTCCATCCTGGTTGATACCATATTTAAAATCTTCCATGCAAATGTTTTTGTATTCTTGGCTGGCACGTGCAGAAATCTGCTCTCATAAAACTACTTGCCCCATCTCCCACACTGGTATCAGAATATTCTGATGCCTACAGTTCTTTAGGGACAGAGGACTACTGGTTCCATCCTGGTGAGCTTGTATTTGTCATAATAACAGCGGATCCAAGTGGCCTACGAAATAAGGACAGGAAAAGAACTCTTCAGAATACACAACTGAAAATGTCTGCATGTTTGTCCAGGCAAATTTTATTTAAATATTTGATACAGCATCCCAGAAAAAAACAAAACCAAAACCAAATTACTTTCCCCCACAAAATAATAAAAAAACCACAAACAAACAAACAAACAAAAAAAACCCAAAACAACAAAACAAAATAAACCCATTTAACTGTGGATCTGTTTGTGTATCAGAGCAAGAGACAAAAAGGGAATTTGCTGTGTGTGAGAGAAGTGGGTTTGCTGACTGACCTGTTCAGATTAAACTTTTTGTTTTGAAATCTGTGTTAAGAAATTGCTGAAAAGATGAGAAATGGGACAAAAGAACAGATGTACAAATTACTTCTATAATTTTATAGAAACCAAGATTTCTGCACAAGTTAGCCTACATTGACTATTGCATTGTTCTGGCTTGCACTGCCATAGTAGAGAGAGTTATGAAAGAAGCAAAACTGTACTATCATTAGAAATAAAGTTTTTCTTCTTTCCTTCTCAGGGTGCAGGTATATACAATTCTTTTCACGTAAACACCTTGTTGGAGAGATAATGCCTTTGTGGCAGGTGCGCTGATCATCATCCCCCTGAAAAACAGTCTACACACTTGGATAGAGAGATGAGAGGAAACAAATGTCACTGAAACAAGCCAAAGGCTTTAGAGCGAATGTAAATTACAAGCATGTAGGCCCTAGCATACAGAGCTCTTTCTTTAAGTTAGAGTGAGAACTAAATGCACAATAAGAACCAGACTACAAATAGATCCTCTTTCAAATCAGATATGATAGATAATATTTTTTATGAATATAAGGCTTACAGTTCTCTGGTGGGTGAAAAAGGTTAAACCTCTCTGAAGACAGAGCCCATTTGAAGACCCCTAGGTGCAACTGCACTACTACCCGAAGGAAAACTGGTTTCCTTAAGCCATGTAGTCACAGACAAGCAACAAAAAACTTAACATGTGGTTCCACAGGGGTACCACTGCTGTTTTCTGGCTCATGATCTTCACAAAATTGGCCACGCACCAAGGAGAACATGAAGGCTATTGGTCCCATGTTGCCTGTCAGATGGAGTCCTTGTACCAGAAGTAGCACTTCAGTGGGCTTTAAAGATAAGAAGGAAGGTAAAATGTGCTATTTAAGTTTGTGATATGTCATGGTTTTATTACAAACAGTGTGATAAAGGAATGATAAGTAGTAAAATCCTATGTCCAATCCATTTCTTTGTCCTTATATGCAGTTGCATTCTGTCATGCTTTCTTTCATGCTAGAAAACATTCCCTCTCTTGCACATATGAAAAGCCCTTTAAACATAATATGTACTAGCACTGTCATACGTGAGCACTTCACAGACCATCAAAGATTCAACTAAACCCACAGAAATAATGTCTGTCAAAAAATAGCCATCTCACCTATGTCCTTTTAAACACACAAACTTTTGGCATGTGTCCCAGATAAGTTTGCATTCCATGGGAACACAGGCATCCCAGAGGTAACATTTTTAAAGATGTGAACACATATCAGGGTCCAAACCAAAAGTGCTTCCATACCAAAAGGGAAAATTTGCTTTTAATAATTACTGCAGTTACTTCTGAAAGCAGAGTCACCATCTGGATGAGTTCAGGACACTAATATCTATTCATATTTCTGAAGAGCAGGAATTGAATCCTGAAATTTGAAACTGGGAGCATCAAGTTTCAAACTCCAAAATATCCTGACTAAACACAACACAATCACCCCAAACCATGAGGTAACACATAAAGCCTGTACATAAGAAGAGATTTTGTCTTTTCTTTCCCAGTACTGTTAACTTAGCTGGTTTAACTGTTTTGCTGATGTCTGTGGGCCCGACAGCTACTTTCACCATTTTTGGCAAAATACAGCTTCACCGGTGCTGCACATCAGTACGTCACATTGGCAAGGATGGGGATGATGCTTGGATACAGGGTTAGTACACTCTTTCTCAAAACAAAAAGTGTTAGGGGAAGTGAGAGAAGGAGAGGGAAGAAGGAGGGGCCTATTGAGAGACATTGCTACTTGGGTCAATTGATGTTTGGTACAAAATTTTCCAAAATCACAGAAGGAAGGTTAGGTTCTGGTAAGTCATTTGGTGTAATTTCCCCCAAAGGCAATCACATGTTCCCTCTTTCTTTCTAGCTTCGACTGCTCTATGAGTGCAACCCTATGGCTTTCATCATTGAGCAGGCAGGTGGGATGGCAACCACAGGGACTGGGGCAGTGTTGGATGTGAAACCTGAGAGTATTCACCAAAGAGTCCCTCTTATCCTCGGTTCTCCAGATGATGTGCAAGAATATCTCGCTTGTGTACAGAAACACCAGAAGAGCAGCTAAAGGCTTTTCCACATCAGACCTTGCTCATCCATCTCCAGTCTACAGAAAAAGGCATGCCTTTCAAGATGATGGATTCTCTCAACAAAAATCACACATTACAAGAACAAGAAAAATAGTGAGAACTGCTGATGGGAAAAAACCCCAAAAATTTAATTTCTCCTTTCAGACAAATGTAAAAATCCTTTAACTCTGATTTATGCAGTGAGAATGTAGAGCCTGATTATTAAACAGAGGCAACTTACTTTATATAATATTAACAAAAGGAAGTGGATTGTGTCAGTACCCCCATTTGATCTGAAGCTTTACATCTGACATTACCTGATTGGCATTGTTTGAGACAGTTTTTTCACATCAACATTTGCAATAACATTATCTGGATTTTCTGTTAGAGGTTTTGTTGCAAGTGCTTTTTATCTTGACAGCCCTGAGAAGACAACAAGTCTCGAGCTGTCTGAAACAGTGTTTTTAATCTCCAAATTATAAATGGCTTGGGTAAATAATAAAGATGAAAAGGCTGCAATATTGCCAGGGTATTTCAGTTTTCATAAGAACAAGAAAATGCCTTGTGTTATTTACAGACAGGTAACCATCAACAGCACAAATTACAATAAACCATTGCTACGGATGTAACATTCAAATCATGCCTATTCCTTGTTTATCCATTGTCCTCTGCAGCAAAATATGAGCTATTGCCACAAAGTGACAGTTACACCTCCATTTCCTTTCAATTTGAAAGGTTCTCACTTCAGAGTGAAGCTTGCCCTGTTACACACGTTATACCGCTGTTCCTAGGCACCTACATCATGCCCGTCCTGTTGGTGTCCTAGTGCCACGTCTCAGACTTGACACTGCCTAAGGAGATTAGGAACCAGCTCTGAAACTAGCAGGCATTCACTGACCAATGAGAGCAAAAATTATTAATTAAAATAAATGTGTGGATATGTTAAGTGGTAAGGGTGTAAAAACTGGGTTTCAGGTCAGTTTGAGTATTAGGCATCCTGATACATTTCTAATCCTCCTGTCTCATTATACGGACGTTTCTTTTGGCAACCATCTTGCCATAAACTACTCCTGGCCCATCTGCTCATTTTCACCCCTGCTCCACACCCCCAGCCGTGCTCATACAAGACTTTATTAAGAACACTCTGCGAATTACATTAGGACATAGATAGGAGTTAAAAATAATCCTACCAAGAAACTCCAATGGTTATTTTTAAACTTACAACTATGTTCTATTATTTATAAAGAAGAGGTGGGCTGAATAAAGGCAGACAGAAAATCATACAGGACTTGTATTTACCCTTAGGTATTGTTATCCCAGAGGTGAGGATGTGATTTCAGTACTGCATCAAGTATCAAAGCACTCTTTCTGCAGGTCTTTATCTGGCACCCTTTAAAGCTGTAATAGTGACAACTGCCCAGGATCAGCAAGTACAGTGTGTACTTGTTTATTCTGTTCCTTGTCATGTGCTTCCCGAATCTCTGCTACTAACAGCAAAACACAAGCAACACTTAAATCCTGGGGAATGAAGAGGAAGCAGAAAAAAACTGTGGGGTGTTTAGGTAATAGCCAGCTTTATACTGGAGAATGCAACTGTGCACTCTGACTATGAATGCTAGTAAATCAGTTTTCCTGCAAACAAAATGTGCACACATTGTGTATGTGTATGTATATATATACACACACACATTTATACATATATTTTATACATATATAGTCTCTCTCTCTCACACAGTCTTCATGTAAGGATAGAAATAGCTGTCAATCTCACCAATTTATTGAAAAATGATATTGCATTTTTAAAATAGGAAAGCTAAAACCAAGTAGAATTTGAGGTTAGTGGAGTAAGCTAACAATATTAGTACTGCACCAGAAGAAAGATCACTTGTAACCTGATCCTGTTTACAAGGGGCCAGGACACATGATTAAGGACAGAGCAAGAACAGGGACTTGGAACTCCCCAGTGTAACCACAGGACCTCTAAGAACAATCACTTTTTTTGGAAAATCCTGAAAGAAAGTTTGTATTGAGGTGGGTATACACAGTTGAATTGTATCTGCGTACTGCAATGTGTCAGCCATCCAGTGCTCTAGTGCCAGCATAACAGCACCTGAGTTGTCTTCATTTAAGTATGATTTCACAGCAAAACCTGCATATCATTCCAGCTGCTAGCCTTCCCATGAATATTTTTTTCCTGAGTTTGGACCAGAAGCACCTGTTAGTGGAGGAGCCAGCGCTGGGTCACTGATCTGACAAATAACTTCAGTTTGGGTGGCTGTTGATGCTGAAATGATAACATTCACAGTTTGTGGGCTTCTGGGTAGCTGGTATCTACAAAGAGATCTGTATCTTCCCTGTATAAATAACCCATGCAAACCCCAAATGCAGATTAAGAAAGCAGCAACTTTCTTCAGTGTCAGTTGTGGATTTTCTTTGCCAGATTCCCACCTTGACTTACCACACCTACTCTGGTTTCCTAAGTACTTTTATACTCTCCGCTACATCTAGCACAACCCTTCAACCAGACTGCTCCACAGAGTCCTTCTTAATCCCTTAGGTCGGGGTTTAAAGTTTCCCTTCCCAGTGTGATACCCGTTTGGACTGTTCTACCAGAGCTCTCTGACACAAACCACAGGGTGTCTGTGGTGGGGTTCACCACCTACGAAGCCCTTGCGATACTGGGCTGCAACTTCCCTTCACGGTCAGCTGCCAGGGTATCCAAGGGCATTCAGACAGCTGAGAAAACAAGACGTAGCATTTTGTGGTTTGCTTTTTTTTTAAGACTCCAGAGACCATATTTAGTGGCTAGAGCAGTGAGAAAGGGGATGCACCACGAGCTGTCTTCAACACCAGCAGGAGGAGCAGGGAAGCTGGCCTGGACCAGCACTCACAACACAGGTGCTCTGACTCTGCTTATAAAAGAAGGGGAAGCCTGATATTATTCCTCAGGAAACTCATCAGCATGATAAAAAATTGGAAATACGTGGAAACATCATGTACATGAAGGAACAGGCATGCTTTTAAACACTAGTTCATGTATGCCTTTGTATCAGAATTTAACAGTTTCTTGACATAAAATTATGTATAAACCAACACCAGTTTTATTTCCTATGACTTTTGGAGGAGGATGTGGAAAGGAAAGTATACTAGTTGTATTGTACCAGGTATATAACAAACATGATGGCTCTTAAAGTACTGGTTTCCAACTTGTTGCCAAACCTAATTCTTATTTCCAATTTCAGGGCACCTTTGCACCTATTTCAGGAGTAAAAGCAAACTACCTTAACCTGGTGGTATCCAGTAACACAAGAAAACACAGAAACCCCACCCATCCCTAACAAATGAGGAGTTGTTCACAAACTACTTCGACTGGAAATAAAGCTAGTCTGAAGTCAGCTTCAGAGAGCTGGCCTTGTGACTGCAATCACAAGATGGGGGATCAGAGAACAGGTTGGGGCTGGCAGGCTTCCCACCAGCCTCGCGGTGCCCAGCCTGCCTGCACTGATGCCCTGCAGGGAGCTGATCCCGGACCCTCTGCAGTGGGAGCTCACCCTTCCCCGAGAAAACAAGGCAGATGGGGTAGAGATGCTGTTTGAAATGTTGGATCAAATGTGTCTTTGAGCGTTTGTGTCAAAAGTTGGTACTTGGCTCTGTTTTCCACAAAACGTACACACAGGGAGTTTTGCTGTGTTTTTTAATAAAGCCAACTGGTATTTCTGGAAAAATTAGGCAAGACTTTTCTTCGTTTGTAAAATGGAAGTAGTATACTTCAGGCTAATTACAGACAGAGAACAAGAAAGAGCTCTCAGTTTACATAAAGTATACTACCCACTTAGGCTCACTGTGAGGAAAGGGTGATTGGTACCCATGGAACACAAGAGAAGGATTAACAAGAGGAAAGATGATAAAATCATTGACTCCCGTGGGAGTGCAAAGATAAAAGTATCTATTTTCCAGAGATACCCAAGGCCAACATGTGGGTAAAGCAGGGAACACAATGAACACAGAGATAGAGGATCAGCACACAAAGAGTTAACCAGAGGTACAGAACCCCAGAAGTTTTGAGGAGACAGTTGCTACCATTCAGGCTTCATGTCATCAGGGACAATACTCACAAACCCCATACGTTGCTACTGAAAACACTTTCAGGTTTTGTTCCTATCTTTCTGCAGAGATAGATGTGGTTTCAGAAAACAGAAGAATAAAAATCTCAAACCAAGCATGTGATCTCATTCCACTGAACGGATTTTAATACTTCATGGAGATAGGTGACTGATCACTTTTCACAGAGATCCACCCTGGGGGGGGGTTGCTCTCACCTGATGCAATGATTTGCATCATGGTTTTGCAGAATCCTGTTCATCAGGAGCCGAGGTGGCTTCTGGTAGCAGCTTCTGCAGTTCTGTCCATGAGGACCAATGAAGGGAGTTTGGTGAGACGGCTTGCAGAGGGTGTTGGCCAGGACAGCTATGTACTCACAGGTCGGTAAATGGAGCTTGGCCTAAGCGTTCTTGTCAGCTGCTTGAGCAAATCACCCTGTGAATATCACTTTTGAAGAGAGGCCAGGAGGAGGAGGAGGTATACACTGGCTTAATTACCTGGTCAGCTGTGCTCAGGTTGAATGTGCGAGGCCCGCCTAATCCCAGCCCGAGGCCTGACCCTCTGCAGTGTCTCATCGATTCAGCATTACGCTCAGATGCACTGTCAGCACATGCCCGGGAAAGAAAGAAGTCAGCTTCTCCCCACGCCCAGCCGCAGCAGCACCTGCCTCATCATCACCTGCTGGGAAAAGCGTAACTCTGAGATACTGGCGTGCCTGCCACATACTTACCGGGTGACACACTATCTGTGTTTTGCCCTTTTGATTGCCTGGTTTCCTGTTTTGCTCCTGCATGGACAACTTTCTGACAGCGTGATATATCATTCCAGCACAGGAAAGAAAAATGGAGACTGCTCAAATGAAAAGAAAGCAGGGAGGATAAATGGAAAGGAAAGGGCCACGCAGGCAAATGTAGATCTGAAATTTAAACTCAATGAAAGAAAAAGAATGGGGGATGTTTACCTTTTAGCTCTGTTGGAGCTACACTGGGAGAAAACAAAGCCAAAGGAGAAGGCTTGCCTTCTCTCAGATGAACACACACAGCTGCTAATCAGCTGCAGGGCCCCTGGCAGGCAGCCTTACCACTTTTGCCCTTTTTTCTCTCACACCCCTCAGCTGTGTGTCAGTTTAGATTAAAAACTTGGTGGGGAGAGACGTTCTCTTGGTTGTTTTTTGGTTTTTTTTTTTTTTTTGGGGTTCAGAGATCACCTAACAAAATGGGACTATAAAATTTGTTGAAACGTCTGAAGATACTGCAACTGAAATAACACTTCAAAACAATTCCTGATGGGCTTCCTGTGACCACAAGTTTACTTCTGAAATGTTCTATTACATGGTGAGAGAAATGTGATCAAACCTTGTAACAGCACTGAATCAGAAAACACAGGTCCCCTTCAATTCTTCCTGTGACTAATGAGCAACTAATAGCAAAATGGCAGCAGTATTTATTCTTGACCTTTGCATAAGGCACTGTAATTTCTACATAAACACAAAGAAATTTATTTCAAATGCAGAATAT